TTAGAGCGATGCGCGCTCCCGCGAGAGGGGATGCAATTTTGGGCAGGCATGCGTTTCTGGGCATAACACCTGCCATCAATTCACATCTATTGAATTGATATCTATTGATAAGTATATCAATAGATATTTATCTTCCATAGAAAGATTTTTCCATGCATCTAATAAGTGCATAGACTTCATGTTTAAGAGACAGATTACCCTCCTGAAGTGAGCAGTAGCTTTACAATGCACAACTTTTAGCATAACTTAGACTTTGGAATTACTCATGAATTTCAGTCACTTCGAGATAAATGTGGGCAGGAAAAAAAAGCAAAAAAATAACTTGATGTTTTCGAGAAAAATCACTGAAAAAATAGTTGGTAAAGCGTGGTGAAGAGAATCCCCGATAAACATGTGGAACTGTACTGCTGCCAAAGCCGGACCGTTAAAGTGTGACACACGACGGAAGTAAACAAAAAAAGCATTCTCGTTAACGGATCGCATGGAAATATGGTGCATCTTTAATTAAACAACAATGTCTTCAGTTGAGTGTTTGAGGCAGTTCGTTAACGAGCGATTGACGGCCGCGGCTCAGGAGATCTTCTGCGTGTTTGAAAAAACTATCTCCGAATACGAAGAAGAGATCAGCCGTCAGCGCAGGCTGCTCACCATCGCCTGGAAACCTGAAGTTAAGTTGCACAAAACAGGTTTGTATTGAAATGCAATAGAGCATTGTTGCAGCAAATGAAAGATCGTAACCTATAAATTACGATTAATTTGCAGAAATGTCGGGGTTCATGTCGGTATGTGGTACCTTAAAAACTCCTTTACCATTTAGTCTTCAGCCATAATCCTTATGTAGAATTGGGGAATGTGTAGTCTATTAACACGTTAGAAATCTTTGTAAAACAAAGATTGGTCAACAAGCCTTGAGGAAGCAACAAGGCTGGTGGCAGAAAACTAATTTTATGCATTTCACTACATGTTGCTGGCAGCATCATGCTGTGGGGTTTCTTTTCTTTAGCAACGAGTTATTAAAAACTGGAACGAAAGTGGGGGAACCATTCTTTGAAGAAGAAATGTGGTCAGGGAAAAATGTCCTAAATGATGATGTTTGACAAAGATTGGTGGAATCAAATTTCAAATTTGGAGAAAAATGAATGCACTGAATAAAAATGAATAGAATAGAAATAAATCTTGTGATATATCAGAAGCTTAGAGATATTCAGCAAATACATGCAAAGCTAACGACTCTACTGAAATATATTAGTGTGTGACAGTTTGTGGTGATTTTTATTTATTTATTTATACATAAGGTCAGATAAAATTTAAAAACTGATGAGCTGTCAGTCCAATCCAACTGAGCTATTTTTTAAAAGAAGAATCAGCAGAAATGTAATTTCCAGACTTCTAGCTAAAAGACGGCTCAACAAAGTATTGATTCAGGGAGAATTAACAAGAATTAATACCTCCCAGACTAAAACAAACAAAAAAGTTAACTGAAGTCACAAAGCAATAGGCTGCACTAGGTTTTTATTTAGGGTTATGAGCATAAAAATGTATTCCGATTTCTATTTTTCAACTTTTTGATAGCTTTGTGTCTTTTTTTATTACTTAAAATATGCGTTGCTTTTTGTAATTTTTTTTTGAAAGATTAATAGATCATCAAATTAGTGTTTTGGGGATAATCATATCCTTGTTTTTTTTTTTTGTTTTTTTTTTTGTTTTGTTTTTCCCCATCACCTGTTTTGTATTCGTTTTCTATCCAGAGCTCCCACAAGATTTCATTAACGTGGAGGACATTCCAACGGAGCTGCAGCTCAAGACAAGACAGGACAGGAAGTCTATTTTGAAAAAAGAAGGCAGAGAGCAGATTCCAGAAAGCCATGAAGAAATCCTCACCAGTCCCGAGGAAGGAGAAGTTGAGCTGAAAGAGGAAGTTGAAACTCTTTTTCCAAGTATTACCTGTGATGAAGGTGACAATGTTGTCTTGTCAAATCCTGTGGATGAGGAGTCCACAGACACAGTATCTGTTCAAGGAGCAACAGAACGCAATACTGATGATCAGCTTGGCTCTAGATATTCTCAAAATGTGAGCAAAGGCCAGGATGAAGGAAATCATAGCGGTTCTGTAATAACCAGACGCATGGAGACAAGACTGCAGAGGAGACATCACAGAATCGGTGAACACATTCCCATCACGTTCAAGACTCCTATTTACACTCACAAGGGGAAAATATGCGAGTTTGTGTGTGAGTACTGTGGCAAAGTGTTTCCGTATAGATCCAAGCTGATGCGGCACCAGATTATCCACACGGGCGTGAAGCCGTACTGTTGCCACACCTGTGGTAAACGATTCAACCAGACGTCGATCCTGAAGGTCCACCAGCGGATCCACACGGGCGAGAGGCCGTTCTCCTGCGACGTCTGCGGGAAGCGCTTCAACCAGAAGTCCATCCTGAACGTTCATAAGAAAATCCACTCAGTCGAGAGGCCGTATTGCTGCGATTTCTGTGGCCGAAGGTTCAAGCAGAAATCAAAACTGGAATCTCATATCATATGGCACTCGGGTAAGATTCCTTGTCCTAAAGTTTAAATGGAGATTGTAAAGTCACGTGGGATTCTTGTTTTAAATTTTCCATATTTCATGGGTCACCCTGCTGTCTGGATCATATCCAAGATTTTTGTCTTATAAAATGTTTCCTCAGAAACATGAACTTGAGCAGCTTGGATCGACTGCTCCTTTCTTTTTTTTTGCAAATCATTCATAAAATTTTTGTCTCTGTCAGTGGACTGTAATAGATTGATTCACATTGATTTTGCTTATAGCTAATTGATAAATTGTGATCTGATGCAACATCTTTGGCTTCAATTTGAACCATTTTAAGAGTTAAGCTCAAGGATTCAGAAATGAACATCAATCAAAGAAACTTCATTTGGAGAGCACTTTTTGTACAAATGCGTGTAGCAAAGTTATCTGTACGGACTAAAAGCAAACATGCATAAAATCATGGCAATTATCAGGGAATTATAAGAAATAAAATGACTATTATAGAGGATAATGAGCTGAAGAACTAAGATATAAGAGAGTGAAATCCTAAAACATTCAACAGAGTGCAAAGAAATACATGAGTGAATGAAAATATGCTTGGTACATTTAAAATAATGGTACAGATATAGTATAGTCAAATCTATAAAGTTTGTTTCCATTTTTAAATACAAATTATATTTTAATTACCTTCATTTTTTTTTTTTTTTGCCTTTTCTTTCAGACATACCACAGCCGCTTTTCTTTAAGGAGGAAAACTTTCTCTCTGACCAGCAGCTCTTTGACCATGACCGTCACTCTGCGTTGGAGTTGGGGTTTCCAAAAGTCAAAGAGGAACAGGAAGACTTCTGCTTGGCCCAGAAGGAGCAGCTTGTGTTGAAGCAGGAGACGGACACGTTCATGATCACTGTTCCTCATGATGAAGGTCACGATCACCTTCATGTGGCCCAAACTCTCAACAGGAACTCGGCAGAGGCAGAGTCGGTGGAGATCATATCGGTTGACAGTGGTGCGAAACAACCGGAGAAGACGCATCCCAGAATCTGTAACATCTACAATCCTATCCTGTTCAAAACTTCATGCAACTCTTTTGTCGATAGGAAGTGTGAGTATAAATGCAATACGTGTGGGAAAGTGTTTCAGTTTAAGTCCAGACTGATAAGACACTTCCGCATCCACACGGGCGTGAGGCCGTTCTGCTGTCACATCTGCGGCAAGAGGTTCAACCAGAAATCCATCCTGCAGGTCCACCAGCGGATCCACACGGGCGAGAGGCCTTTTTCCTGCGACATCTGCGGGAAACGCTTCAACCAGAAATCCATACTGAACGTTCACAAGAGGATCCACACGGGCGAGAGGCCGTATTCCTGCCAAGTGTGCGGCAAGAGGTTCAACCAGAAGTCCATACTGGACGGCCACGTCAGGACGCACACGGGCGAGAGGCCGTATTCCTGCAAGACATGCGGCAAAAGCTTCAAAAGTCAGTCCAGCCTGCTGGTTCACATGAAGATGCACATGGACAAGACGACCTACTCCTGTGAAATGTGGGAGAGAGTTCAGCCTTAAACACACACACACACACACACACACACAGGTCAGCACGTATAGCTTTAGCAAACCTGGTGGGAGCATTTTGATATCAAGTAAATAAGTAAAAAAAAATATATATATATAAATAGATAACTTTGCATGTAGTAGAAATCCTCCATGTTGGTAGTAGAGCAGACGTTCGTTGTGAGCATGCACGTTCAGGGCCTTTGCTGCTTTCTCTCTGATTGTTTTTGTTTATATTTTTGCTTGATAATCTGCGTAGGCCTGAATCTTAAATTCTTAAATATTGCAAAAAGTATGATGTTACCACATTAGCATTGCTTGCAGTTTTCAATCTGCTGCAAAGAAAGAATTGCTGCTTCTGCGAAGTAGATACATAATTGCTACCCTGATGATATAAAATACTGCTTCTTAGTTCCAACTAACCTAAACGTTGTACGCTTTAGACAGAAATAGACTGAGATGTGGTTGCCATGGTTACTATTATGATAGGTAAGTGAGCTTATTGTCTTGCTACTTGTGTGTGCATTTTATTGTGTGTAAGCTATATTTATACGGTATACCTATTTGCATATTATTCTTGTATGAAATAAGTATATTAAGGGAGGAGGTGGTACAACGTAACAGTGGTGTTATGTCTGATTTGGGGCTGGTGTCTAATCTTAAACTGGTTCTTCATGTCTTTGACCTTTTAGCGCCTTTTTGGAACTAATTGAACAGCAGTGAAACATTCTTATCTCTCGTTTTGGGTAAGGAGATCAACTCAAACAGACTGTTTGAAATTCCCAAAAGAATCATAGATCATGGGGCTGCACAGTGGCACAGTTGGTAGAGCTGTTGCCTTGCAGCAAGAAGGTTCTGGGTTCGATTCCCAGCTCTGGTCTTTCTGCGAGGAGCTTTGCATGCGTGGGTTTTCTCCGGGTACTCCGGTTTCCTCCCACAGTCCAAAAACATGACTGTTAAGTTAATCGGTCTGTCTAAATTGCCCCGTGTGCATGGTTGTGTGTCCTGCGTGTCTCTGTGTTGCCCTGCAACAGACTGGTGACCTGTCCGGGGTGAACCCCGCCTCTCGCCCAGAACGGTAGCTGGAGATGGGCACCAGCACCGCCTGACCCCACTAAGGGACAAGAGTGTAAAGAAAATGGATGGCTGGATCATAGATCATACATAGAGCTTGAACATAAATGTTAAAACTTTAGCAGTAAAGTTTAACAAATTCCATGTAGTTCTTTTAAGTTAGTCAGACAAAAAACTGCATTTTCTTAATATTACACCTAAACACATTGTTGGTGTCTGCCGGGGGCCCAAGTGAAAGAGGTGGTCACAGTAACTTAACAATTGGGCCACATATTATTTAGTTAAAACATAATTATTTCTGAATGTCATATTTTTCCCTCTCCACTTTGTAAATGTACTCCAGGTAACGATTAGACTTTCCTAAAATTGTCTTTGACATTTTTCCATTGCAGCAGAAGCTAAGTATTTTCTTTATTTCCTTTTCTTTTTTTTTAGACTTTTTTCACATCTCTACCAGAAGTGGAATTAATTGCCGTTTAGGGTAATCAGCTGTGATTTGTAACTATGTATGTAGTAGAATGCATAAAAAGTTTTTGAAAACCAGAAATAACACCACTGAAACTTTTATTTTTGAGAGCCAGATAGCGCTGCCACTTTGCCGACACACTGCATCAAAAAAAGATTGGGGAAACTGCTAAAAGCACAGGTGTGGGGCTGCAGAGTAGGGCGAATGTGTGAAATAGAATTTGGGATTAGTTTTATTCTACTTCATTTTACTTTCATTGTCACCAGTCGAAGTGTAAAAACAGGCTTTTCTGCAGATCCGTCTTCAAATGGAGATGTATTCCGTGACAATAAGATAAAAAAATGTATCCAACGCTTTCCACATTTGATTTTTTTTTCCAATAGGAATGAACTCGGACCAAGTGCTTGTCTAACAAAAGAGTAGGTTTAGTGTAAATATCTTTCAAGATTTCCCTGCTTGTATGAGTGGATGTTTTCCTTGATCTATAATTCATTTAATGTTTTTTTTTTCAGCATCTTGTTTCAAATCCTTTTTTTATTTAGAAGGCACAAAATACACAAACTGACATTATGTCTCGTTTGTGATAAGATTTTGTTGTCAAAACATGCATGAAATCATGGCAATATGATGTTTTTGAGGACCTTTTTTATTGTTTTATAAGCAGGACACTTTTGTTTGTGACATTCTAATCATGAGGGAAAGTGGAATTACTAATGTGGCGTTCCTGAGTTAATGCAGCTTACATGAATAGTACGTCATGCAGCTTTGGATGTGTCTTATAAAGGTGTATGGACTTTGTGTCACACAGAGTTCAAGACTGATGTGTCAAACAGCCGTGTGTTGAACTAATGAAGGAGGTGGGACTTTTGTAAAGTGCCAAAATAAAGAGAATGTAGGACGTTATAGGAACAAGGAAGATGAAACACTTATAGTTCAAAGGTTTCAAAGTCGAATAAAGCAAACTTACTGTGGTTATCTGTGTCTAGAAAAAGTGACATTATAATTTTGTGTCTGATCAAATTTCTTTTCATATAAACTTCATGTTTTTTCAATTGTGGAAGTCTTGATGTGTTTTTTTTATATTTTTTTTATATGTAATTTCAGTATTTGCACCAACAAATGTTTATTTCAAATTATTTTGTTTGCAGCTTTGGATGCAGTTCTGCATTTGAGTTTCATTTGTCACGCGTTGTCATTCAGATCATAATTTCTAAAATGATAGCTTACTATTATTAGATGTTACTACAAACCAAGTGGACTAAAGTGTTAAGAGTGTATACCCTGGCTAGTGCCTGAATAAAACTTGAGGATGATTTGATTTTTTTCTTTTCTTTTATATCATCTACCTTATAACTCATAATTATTGTCTTTACTGATTTTTCTCTCATCCCTGTACTATTTCACTTAGGCACAATGCCCAGCAACAATTGGCTAAAAATTGCTGCTACAGCAATATTACACTGGTAAATTTGTTGTACAGCACTTTGGTGCAACTCGTGTTTTTAAAGTGCTTCATGAATAAATTGACATTTACTGCACGTTACTCTGAAT